TAAGCTCTGCTATACTTTTAGTATTGAGCACTTTATATATCTAGACAACCAAAATAAATTGAATTATATATATATATATATATATATATATATATATTAAGATGAAAATGTTTTAGAGTGTGTAATATATTTCATAATTTCCAGTCTTAAAATCCGTCTGACCGTGTAGCTCAGTAGGTAGAGCGTCGATCTAGTAATTCGAAGGTCGCGGGTTCGAGACCCAGCTGCGGCAGACAACATCTTTCTGCTTGCGCTGGGTATGGAAATTATATAATACACACTCTAGAACATTTTCATCTTAATTAACCGGAGTGTACAATTACACAACAAATATATATATATATATATATATATATATATATATATATATATATATATATATATATATATATATATATATATATATATATATATATATATATATATATATATAATATATATATATAGGCGAATGTCAATAAGTATATTGAGTGTCGAATCATAAGAATAGAGTGCTCGATACAAAAGTAGAGCAAATAAATGACAAGCTTGAGTTACTTCGTTTAAAACATTTATTCACAACAAATTTGTTTCGTATGGCAAGCTAGGCTTGCCACACTCATCAGGTGAATGGTGATATCGCGTATTTACATGATGTTATAACCTATAGGTAACTTGAGCTGTTATATACAAATGTTTGACGTCATTAGGAAAGCGTAATCGTAAAGCAGACGAGAAACTACTTGTTGCTGCCGATAAAACCACAAATTTCTACCGTTTGGACGCCCCCACATATGACAAGTTAATTGATACTGCAATAACAAAAACCTACAAGAAAGCCCCGACAAAAACCACGGACAGAATAATATCTGATGAAAAGAAAATTACAAAAAGTCTTGGCATCGACAACCGTGTTGACTCACTAGCAACAAAGGACTCATTCATCACCCTGAAAGATCATAAACCAAATTTTTCCAGCAACCCTACCTGCAGACTTATAAATCCATCGAAATCTGAGATCGGGATTGTCAGCAAGCAAGTCCTTCAAAGGATCAATTCCAAAATTGTCAAATCCACCAACATAAACCAATGGAAAAATACTGACGCAGTAATAAAGTGGTTTAACAACATGCCTAGTAAATCTACCCGCTCGTATATCAGCTTCGATATAGTAGATTTCTATCCGGCTATATCAGAAGAGCTCCTGAAAGAATCCCTAGCATTCGCCTCACAATACGACGAAATAACCGAAAATGAGAAAGCCATCATCATGAATGCTAAGCTATCGCTGCTCTTCAACAGGAATACAACTTGGCGAAAGAAAACATCAGCCGATTCACTTTTCGATGTAACCATGGGCAGTTTTGACGGGGCTGAGACATGCGAGTTAGTGGGATCGTATCTTCTTTCACAACTAACGGCAGAGTACGGCAATGACATTGGTCTGTACAGAGATGACGGCCTCGCAGCCTTTGACAAAACACCGCGTGAAATCGAGACCATTAAGAAAAGCATTTGCAAAGTTTTCAGTGACAACAACTTGAAAATAACCATCGAAGCCAACAAAAAATGCGTGAACTATCTAGACATTACACTTGACCTTAGATCGTCATCTTACAAGCCATATATGAAACCCGGAAATACACCGCTATATCTCAACCACAACAGCAACCACCCGCCTACAATACTACGCAGCATACCAGATGCTATTAACAAGAGGCTATCAAACATATCCTC